CCTCTTTTAGGATCCCAGGTACAGACCTTTTCACTATGTCCCATATTTCTGTTAATCTCTTTTCTATGTTATTGTTTTTTTTTCCTTCATGCTTAAATTGAGTAGTTTCTACTAATGTTTCTTCTACATCTCTGTTCTACTGTGTTTAATCTGCTGTTAAATTTGTGGAGGTTTTCAATTTAGGTTTTCTTTAAATTATAGAATTTACTTTTTAAAAATTCCCCCCTGTGAAAGTTTCCAGTTCTTAGATGAAATTCTTCACTTTTTTTTTTCTTGAGCATATTAATTGCAGATCATTTAAAGGCTGTATCTGATAACTCCAATATCTTCATTACCTATGGGTCTGTTCTGTTTTTTGTTTTTTTCTCCCTTGGTGTTTGATTCTTTGGTTTTGCTTTTTGGTATGCTTGATAGTTGTTTTAGTTAGAGCATGTAAAAAAATTGTATAACTTCTGGATACTATTATTTTGCAAAGACAGTTTAGTTTTCTTATGGTAGGCAGTTAATATAAGGATAAACCACCTTAATCCAATTAAGGATTCAGATAATTAGAGGCTACATTTTTCTAAATCCTGTTCTATTTTGTTTTCCCTTACACTCAGGCTTCTGGGACATGGTCCCTTGGGGGTCTTGACTAAAAAAAGCCTGGGGTGTTTACCAGCGGTTTTTTTTTTTTTTTTTTTTTTTTTTTGTGGTACGACCTGGACTCTACTTTTGGCCTTCCTAGCACAGGGGAACTGCTAGAGGATTTACAGTATTTCATTTCTTACTCTCTTACCTGTTGCTTGCTTCTTAGCTTGTTTTCAGCTTCTTACTGCACAGTTGAATTGCAAATCCTGCAAGGAGGAAGAAGCAGACAATTGGCTTTGCCGCAGTATATTTCCCTTTTCTTTGGGATATTGACTCTTTTAGCCCTTAGTTGCTCTTCAGTACTTTCAAACAGCTTGTTTTTTTTCTTTGAATCCAGGCTTTGTAATTTTCAGTAGGAGTTATGGTCCTACATAAGTTACTTTATCATTGTGGAGTGGAAATTACTATATATGTTTAATTTTGCTTATTGTAAAAATTATACTATATACATTCTTTGGCTTTTAAATAAATTGAGCCTTGTTTCTAAGATTCATCTATTTCATTTAAGAGCTTCAGTTAATTTTTGTTGTACGGTGTTATTTGTACGTCACATCTGCACACAACATTTAATTACCCTATCATAACCAAGGAATCACCATATTTTATAGTTTATTTATTGACTTTTAAGTTGTTGAGACTGTAAAATACGTATTCCATAAGTTGTTGAGACTGTAAAATACGTATTCCATTCTATATAATATATAGTAAGCTTCATGAGTCAGTATATTTTCAAAGTTTAAATTTCTATACCTGAGAGTGCTTTGAATACCATAGGTGCCCAGTGATGTGTAAGGCAGTGTATCTTTTACAAAATGTTTTCAGTATTATGATTTCTCTGTATACGAGGAGAATTTGTCATTAACATTTACCATATAAGTCCTTTTACAAATAGCATATAGAAGTAAGAATAAAAGTGATAAAAATAATTTCATTGGAAATTTTAATAAGAATTTAAACATTGCAGACCTAAACTTCATTCAATATTTTTCTAGTTTTGAAGATAATATGTATTAAATTTGGCAGTGTCTTTTCAATGTAACTATTTACTGGTCAGTTGTCGTGTATGAATCTTGTATTGTGTCCATTTTGTGAGTCACTGTTTCCAGGTTTTGAATACAATTCTCATAGTTTCTAGCTTATAATTACTTATGGTTATTCTTGCACTTGTATCATCAAAATGCAGTACTGATTCCAGATCTCAAATACGTAACAAATAGATTCTGGCTTATCATTACTTCTGAACTTTGGCATTGCCAAATTCAGTGCTTTTGTAAGCTTCGAGAGCTCAAAATGTTGTTTAAAGTTGGCTGTATTTAAAAAAAAACAACAGAAATACCTTGGCTGAGTGGCTCAGTTGGTTGGAGTGTCATCCTGTACACCGAAAGGTTGCCAGTTCAACTCACGGTCAGGGCACATACCTAGGTAGTGGGTTTGATCCATGGTCAGGATGCATTTGGGAGGCAACCGATGAATGTTTCTCCCTCACATCCATGTCTCTCTTTCCCTGCCCTTCCTTTTTCTCTAAAATCAATAAATATAACTTTGGGTGAAGATTAAAAAAAATAATAAAGGTGACTGTCTTATTAGCTCCAATATAGAAAAATATTTAAAAATTTTTAGTCATAAACACTTCTTAGGATGATCAGTTCTATAAACTTTTCCATTATCTGTTTCTTTCCAAGGGCTTTAAACATATACTTTTCTTTATTTGTCCACTTATGAGCCTTATCAAGTAAATTCTGGTATATAAACATTATAAAAGATGGAAGAATACTATCACACATCCTTTTAGCAAAATGGGATGGTCCAGGTTCTTTTCAGTAAATAATGTGAATTGAAGTCCTTTCTGTTGATTAACTAACTAGATGAGGGTACTATATTTCTTTTTGTTCTTAGAAATATACTGTTCATTCATTTTCTTGAGTGAGACCATTTATCTAGATACCATCATATGAAAACCATAACCTGATATTGCATATGTGATTATTTTCACCATCATTATTAGAGTCTAAATAGTGGTTTTCAACCAGGGATGATTTTGCACCCCCTCTCCCCATCCAGGGCATATTTAGCAATGTCTGGGGACATTTTTGGTTGGTAAGCTGGGTTGGGAGGTGAGGTATTCTGCTTTTGGCTGCTAAATATCATACAATGCACAAGCTAGTTTTCCACCAAAAAGAATTATCTGGCCCAAATAGTTAATAGTGCCTAGAAAGAGAAACCCTGGTCTAAAGTGCTGCTGTCTCTGTGTTATGATGAAAAAATTCTCAATGTAGTAAAAACTAAATCTTTTGGACTTCCAGTCAACAAGGAGATATAGGTAAACATGGCTTGCTTGCTTCCTTGTATAAACACAGCAAAAGTTACAGCTACAATACGGATATCACCCAGAATTGTCAGAAAAACTGAGCTATATGGAAGTCTAACCACCAAGCAATTAAAGAAGTCACATTCATTCAGACGGGTAGGAAGGGTGGAGATGCAGATATGTAGAATGGGTAGTTCCACACCCATGAGTGGTGGATTAAAATTGGGAGGGATATCTCATGATTGAGGGATCCCAACCCCAAACCATACCACCCAGCCCCGGGTTCCAGTGCCAGGAAGATAAGTCCCCATAATTTCTGGCTATAAAAATCAGTGGGGGTTGGGGCGGCAGAAGAAACTGCAGGTTTTTCAGGTGTCTCCTTTTAAAGGGTCCCCAACGGACTTAGGACTTATGCAGACTCACTCCTTTTGGGCTCCAGCACCAGGACAGCAGCTTGAGGGCACCAGTGGCATACAGGGAAAAGCTGAAGTGTCTGGCATCAGGGGGAGTGTCAGGAGACAGCTTCCTCCCAGACAAAACGGCAGAGGCCAAATAGCAGCCGTTGTCCCTTTTCTGAGCCCTCCCTGACACAGAGCCACAGAGCTGTGAAACCATATCTAGGACTCCACCAACCAGGTACACATGGGTTGCCCCACCCAGGCGATTATGTAAAGCTCCACCCCATCCAACTTATGGTGCACTTTTGTACATTAGGCCATGCTACTAAGAGAGGGAGTCAAAGCAGCTCTACCTAGTACATAAAAACAAACACTGGGAGGCTACCAAAATAAGGAGACAAAGAAATATGGCCCAAATGAAAGAACAGGACAAAATTCCAGAAAAGGAACTAAACAAAATGGAGATAATCTATTAGATGCAGAGGTCAAAACACTGGTTATTAGCGTGCTGAAGGAACTTGTTGGGTACTTCAACAGCATAAAAAAGAACCAGGCAGAACTAAAGGTTACACTAAGTGAAATAAAAATTTACAGGGAATCAACAATGGAGTGGATGAAGCCAAGAATCAAATCAATGATTTGGAACACAAGGAAGAAAAGAAGTGGAATTAGAACAGCAAGAAGAAAAAAGAATACAAAAAAATGAGGACAGGGTCAGGAACCTCTGGGGCAACTTCAAATGTACCAACATTCAAATCATAGTGGTGCCAGAAGGAGAAGAGAAAGAGCAAGAAACTGAAACTTGTTTGAAAAAATAATGAAAGAAAACTTCCTTAATTTGGTGAAGGGAATAGACACACAAGTCTAAGAAGCGCAGAGAAGCTCAAACAAGATGGACACAAAGAGGACCACACTAAGACACATAATTAAAATGTTGAAGGTTAAAGATAAAGAGAATCTTAAAAGCAGGAAGAGAAAAGCAAAGAGTTATCTACAGATGTTATTCCCAGAGACTATCATCTGATTTCTCAACAGAAACTTCGCAGGCTGGAAGGGACTGGCAAGAAGTATTCAAAGTGATGAAAAGTAAGGACCTACAATCTAGATTACTCTATCCAGCAAAGCTGTGATTTAGAATGGAAGGACAGAAAAAGAGCTTCCCAGGCAAGAAAAAAAATTAAGGAGTTTATCATCACCAAGCCCTTATATGAAATGTTAAAGGGACTTATTTAAGAAAAAGGAGATCAAAACTATGAACATTAAAATGGCAACAGATTCACAATTATCAACAGTTTAACCTCAAAAGCAAACTAAGCAAGCAAGCAGTACAGAAACAGAATCATAGATATGGAGATCTTTGGAGGGTTACCTACTATCTGGGAGGGGGAGGGGGAGAATGGGGGAAAAAAGTGCAGGGATTAAGAAGTATAAATTGGTAGGTACAGAATAAATAGTAGGATGGCAAGAACAATATACGAAAAAGAGAAGCCAAAGAACTTAAATGCATGGCCCATGGACATGAACTAAGGGGGAGAATATCGAAGGGAGTGGGGTTTACTGGGCAGAGAGGGCCAAAGGGGGAAAACTTGGGACAACCGTAATAGCATAATCAATAAAATATATTAAAAAAAAATCTAATTTTTCGACTTTTACGTTTTTTTTAGGATTGGTCCAAAGGAAGATTTTTTCCACTGTTTGAAATGTAACTTATGCCTAGCTATGAATCTCCAAGGAAAGCACAAGGTATTAGTTATGTAAATTACATAAATTTTAACAGTACTAACAATGTGTTTCAAAACCAGCTTAAATCCTGTTTGGAAGTATGCTAATTTTATTTTATTTTTTTAAATTTAATCTTTATAGTATCATTTTTCCGTTACCATTTAATTCCCTTATACTCCCTCCCCCCAGCAATCACCACACTGTTGTCGATGCCCAGGAGTTCTTTTTCCTTTTTTGCTCAATCCCTCCATTTCCTCTCTCTCCTCTCCCCCAAGCTGTCATCCTGTTCTCCATCTATGAGTCTTAATTTTCAATATTAACAAGAACAACTGTGTCACTTTTTATTTTTAAGCAGTGTTAAAGAGTAGATGTTCTAAACTATATGCCTCAATATCTGATCTATTCCTTTTTTAGTATCTAAGAATAATTGTATCAGCTATTAGGATATTGTTGACAACTTCTAAATTGACTCAGGGATTTTTATCATGGGTATTAGTTTTAAGAATAGCTTTTAAAATGCATAGTAGAGCAGAAATATGGAGCAGTGTGCCCTGTTAGCACACAGCATTCCAAGACAAGTCAGAAAACATTTTTATATTTTCTTCCATAATTAGACAAATATTTTTAATATGGATATAGCAATTATATCATGATCCCAGGCCCTTTAAAATCATTTTTCATTACTTAGGAAAAGTAAAAAACTATCATTTGTCATCTAATATAAGAATTTAGAGAATGGAGAGACTAGTGAGGGTTTTTAAAATAGATAGTAGGTAATGACTAACCTAAAATAGTAAAGTGGTAAGAGAAAGAAGTGAACAATGACAATATGGGATATGCTGACAAGGTATAATGGAAGAAGAAGGGGCTGAGTAAGAATGACCCTCAAGGTTTTAAGCCCTGGCTTTTGGTGGTTATTTAATAGATTATGAATTTGAGGTAAAAGGGTTGAGTTTGGTTGTATAGACTTGAGTTTGAAGTGATAGCAAGATACGCTATGCTGTCTTTCAAAAATTATGAACACTTTCTCTCACAATATTTTTGTTTTGCTTTTCAGTTATCTCTTACTGTCCGTATTAATAAGTGGCCCCGCTGTCTACTCTAACACTTTAAAAACCTGGGCATCATCCATAGCTTGGTTCTTTCCCAAACCTCCCCACATCAAATCAGACACTGTCTTGTCAAGTTAAGAACTCAGACCCTAGAGGTACCCTGTTGGAGCTGTAAGATGTAGTTCCATCTCTTACAAGCATGTGATTTTGGAAGTTACTTAGTTTCTTTAGGCCTTAGGTACCTCATTTGTAAAATGGGATGATAATTATGTCTGTTTCATTGAGAATTGTGAGAATTAAGCTAGTATAGGTAATGAACTTAGCATATGGCATATAGTGAAATCTCAATAATATGAACTGTTATTATCAATATTATTAAGTAATTAGCTTTTGAGTAAAACACATAAAAAATAGAAAGGTTCCAAACATTATTATCTCTGCAATTTTGATAAGTCTTCATTCACTGAGTTTCCTTATCTGTAAAATGAATACAATGAATAATTAAGATGTATTGAATGATTTCATTGTTTCGGGTAATATGCCAACCCTGAATTAGTTGTGAGAGTTAAATCATTCTTGTCTGATGCTATCTTTAGTAAATTGATATTGTTTCCTTTATTTGTTAGTTATTATTATTAATAATATTGTTATATTTGTTATTCACATTTCATTAAACTTTCTGTAATTTGAATTTTTCTTTTAAACAGTGTATTGAAAATGTTTCCCGGCAGAACTGTCCAATATGTTTGGAGGTAAGCTTAGAATATTTTTTGCTTTGGAAATATCCTCTCTTGAATTGAAAATACTTGGCTGTTTAGATTGTCTTCATGTAAGCACTAACATTTACTTCTTTTTACAGGACATTCACACATCTCGTGTTGTTGCTCATGTCTTGCCATGTGGACATCTTTTACATAGGTAAAGTAACTTTGGTTTCTTATCTCCAAAATATTTGAAAATAGTGGAAATAATTTTTGTTTTATTGAAATAATGTTATTTTTTTTTCCAGAACGTGTTATGAAGAAATGTTGAAAGAGTGAGTATTTGAGATTTAAAACTGTTATAATTGTAAGATGTCTGGGTTTTTTGTTTTTTTTTTTCTTTTTCATTGCTGTCAGCATATGTTGGGCATAATGCAATTTATCTCAGATGGGCAGGGTAAATGAGTAGTGTTAAACTGGGCAAAACATCTTGGGGGATACAGGGCTTACATCATTGTACCCATGTTATCTCTTCTTCCAAACTGAAACCCTTACCTTTGATTTTTCTGGCTTTACTCACCAGGGATCACAGTTTGTGCTAGAGGCAGCTCTAGCTTTGTAAAAATGCCGAGGCATTTTGCTCAAAAATCTGTTAAGTCATTATGTTGGTCCAGTATAATGACCTGCAGAGAAAGCTAGTAATGAGATTACCTACAGCTGAGACTTATTGTGGCAGAAGGATGTTAAATTGAGATAAGAAGAGTCAGGAAAGAGGAGACTGTAAAATATATTTTGGCCCTGTAAATTCATGAGAAGAAGTTGTGATTTATAATAACCAGATAGAAGGAAACTGTATCAGAATGTTTAGGAAATAATATGTGAATAAATTTTAAGGTATATAGTGTCCTCTTTACTTGAATATATTCAGAAATTGAAATTGTTTAGCTAAAAATCAGCTTAATTGGTTTTTAAAATACGAAGTGTATTCTACAAAGACTATGACTAATTCCTCTTTATTTTAGAGAAGTGAGAAAAAAGAAATAGGTTTAAAAAATGCCAGGATTTAATTGAAAGCTTTTATAGTATAAAAGTTACCAGGTTTGTAACATCCTATCTTGGACGGTGCATGTACCAGTTAGCTGGTATCTTGTATACTTGAGTTTAATGTTTGGAAAATAACCTTTCTATCTCTTCTAGAGGTTACAGATGCCCATTATGTATGCACTCTGCTATAGATATGACTAGGTACTGGAGACAGCTGGATGATGAGGTAGCGCAGACTCCTATGCCATCAGAATATCAGAACATGACTGTAGATGTGAGTAGAACCAATGCTGAAAACTTTTCAAGTTCCTTGTTGATATTCCTGTTTCTTATTGTCCTTTTGATCAAATCTGTCTAAAAAATACTGCTTTGGCATAGATGCCAGTGTGGTGATTGATGGATGGATGGACAAAATAATCTTTAAGTTTTTGTTACTTTGAACTTAAAAGACCAGGAAAAGTAGTTATATGAATAACTTTGTGCAGTTCTTCTCAACACTAGGTGGCAGACACAAACTTTATTCTGAATCATTTACACTTGCCAGAATCAGTCAGTAATGTAACTGATTAGAGGTGAATTATTGGTTTCTTGTTTCATTTTCAGTTATTTTAAATTTACTTCACACAAATATGTTTCCTGATTTTTGAAGATCACTTATGCCTTTTAATATTTAAAAACCCTGTTCAATCTATCTTAGACTTTTAAAATTTGCTCTTATTAGCCTGCAACATAAAATATAGAAGTTTTCTCTGCCTTTTGCCCTATGTAGAATAATCGCCTTTTCTCTGTTGAGACGTGCTACTGTCTATTCTCAGCAGAGTATATTGAGTTACAGGTCAGAATTAGAACAATTAGAATAGCTTTCTGGTTCTGTAATGACTTTTGGACATCCAGATTTTATAAACACCATCAGTTTAGTTCAGATACTTACATATAAAAGGATCAGAAACATTTATGAAAGCCAAATAAAATTATTATTATTTTTTATTCACAGTGGGGCATTTTTATAATTCATGTGGACAATGAATGTCAATGATCACTTTTGGATGACTAACTGATATTCATGTGATGTTTTACTCGAGGCTGCAGTGTGCTATGTTCCATGTAGATGACTTTTTTAAATAACAGCCTTACTAAGATGTAATTCACATACCATACAACTCCTCCTTTTAAAATTTACAATTCAGCACTTTTAGTATATTCTTGGAGTTGTACCAACATCATCACCATCGATTTTAGAATATTTTCATCTCTCCAGAAAGAAACCCTGTGCTCACTAGCAGTCATTCCCCAATTCACTAGCTCTGGGAAACCACTCATCTATTCTTTACATTTAGATTATATTCCTCAAAGAATTGTTCTCCAAATTATAATTTAGAATAAATTTGGAAGTTTTTCTGCTTATTATGGTGTGACTATTCCAAAGCTAATGCTTTTCTCACATCATATTGATTGGTTTTTAGGTGAATACCTTTTTATTTTTCAGGATGTCAGTACTAGAGAAGATGAATTCCTAAAGTGGCATCTTATTGGCATTTTAGGGATGAGCCTAAAGCTTTTCGTTGTTCGATTTTAGGAACTACTTTTGAACTTTAATTCATTCCTGAACCTAGAAGACTAGGAATTTAGTGTATAAACTTAAAGAAGCGGAGGGTTTACTGTCCAGGAAGATATGGTGCTGAAGTCCCTTACCATAAATGGTCAAGTTCCAAGTGTCTCCAGTAAAACTTGATCTGGTAGTGCTTCAGGACACTTGTTCTCCCTAACTCCTTAAAACCCTCTGATTGTGAGCCATCGAGGAGTTTGGGCTTTTGTTGAGCAATAGCTTTCCCATTCTCCTTGCGTGATTCTAGCAATAAAGTGACTAATTTCTCCACTGCAAAAACAAAACAATCAAAAAAACCTAAAAAATAAGCAAAAGTGTTATAAGTATGTAAACACTTGTTTTATTAACTAACATAATTTTCTGTCAGTGAAAATAATAAAATTCATGTATGTTATTTTGAATTATATGTACAGATGCTCTTGGACTTATGATGGTTTGACTTATGCTGTTTCAACTTTAAGGTGGTAAAAGCAATACATATTCAGTAGAAGACATCTAGGCTAAGCCATGATGTCCAGTAGGTTAGGTGTACTACATGCATTTTTGACTTACAGTATTAACTTACAATGGGTTTATCAGGATGTAAGCCTATTATAAATCTCAGAGCATCTATATAGACGATGATCTGATTATGCCTATGTTAATTTTCATTCTAGTACTATTTATATACTACTTGGGAGTGATTTTAAATTAGACTTCTTGGCTCAAATCCACATTTTCATTCTCAATTCAAAGTAGCCTCAGAGCTTTCGGTGAATAACAACAAAAAAAGGGTATTCCCACTTACAGAAATGTTTAGGCTTATATATGCATGTATTTTCACATCTTCAGTATAATTTTTGAGGAATTGTTTTTGAGCAGACAAGTGTCACTTTCTATAAGATTTAATATATTTAATTCGAATTTATCTCTTCTCTTTTTAGATTCTCTGTAATGATTGCAATGGAAGATCTACAGTCCAGTTCCATATATTAGGCATGAAGTGTAATATTTGTGAATCCTACAATACTGCTCAAGCTGGAGGTTGTAGAATTTCACTGGATCAGCAGTGACCAGCCTGTACTGCACTGGAAAGCTCAGCATTTTCCAATAGAAAAAGGCTATATTTAGTATCCTGTTGTCATCATGTGTCCAAATCTATGCATTAGAGTTGATGTGTTTTGTACTAGTGTCACAGCATAAAGTCATATTACAAACACTTAATGATTCAGGGTCTCTTTATATGTCATAACTCTATATTTAATGAAAGCCACTGCACTTGTGTTTTGATTGAAAATTCCTTTAGTGTCAGTTATTTGGAAGCCAATGATGTTGCCACTGAAATTCACATCCATAGAAATATGTTATACTTTCATGTAGCTTTGCTTTAAGTGGCACTGTGCATGCGGAATTCATTTCTAGTTTGACAGAACTGTACTTATTTCTCAGTATTATTCCTGACTTTTTAAGGGCTGTTACTATAATAAGAATATGTTCTATCTTACTGTTAAAGTCTAATTACATATGCTTTAGAATTTTCTAAGACAGTCCTTTAGATCTTTAAATGTGAATTTTGACATAATAACTGTTAATAAAATTTTATTGAAACAGTGTTTTATAGAAAGTTTTTTCCAAGGCTATTTTTGGCTTAATTATGGTAATATAATCTTATAATGTAAAAGAAATACTCCTTCTTTTTTTTTTTTTGAGGTATTCTTCCATAAGAGTAGTTGGGAAAAATATGGAATAACAGAACTCTTCAGAGCCTTAAGAAAATCATCAGTGTTGAAAATAATTTTGTTTTGGTTGCCCAAAATTATTTCTTCAAGGAATAATTTATTCTGTTAGTAAGTATTTAGTGAGGAACTACTTTGTGCTATAGAAATAACTTAAAACAGTATAGACAAAAGTCCCTGCCCTTAGAGTGGTCCATTCTTTTTCCTTGTTTTTCTTTATGTATGTGGTGGTTGTCTTTGTTGTAAGTGGGTAGATTTTTTCTTTCCTAAATGCTTGAAAGTAGGTAGATGAGTAGAAAGGGCACAGAATATTCCTTGCAAGATCTCTGATTTCATAATACTTTTTGGGATTCATGTAATGGGATTAAATATACCTCTTAATTCAGGAATAATGCACATAACAATGCTTGATGATCCTGAACTTTTACAGTAGTATCCAGTATCCTACTTAGCCTGTTTATAAAAAGCTTTTGATTAGGAAGTAAAATGTGTACTTACCAGTCAAGACTCATTACATTTCTAACTTTGAGCTAGTTGAATCTTTGGTGGATAAGGAAGATAGTGTTTATAACTACAGAGAACTACAGAAATGTAGAGATAACATTTCTGGTACATTTATTTCTTCTTTTGTTGAAATTTCTTTTGCTGAATAAAGGCAGCAGCATTGATTTTCAGTTTTGGGCCCAGATCTTCTCTACCTTGCTTTTCTGTCTTCCATGTTTTACTCTTCTTGTGATCTTCTCCCTTTATCCATCTCCTTGGCCTGGGCAGAGCAGCAGTGCCAACCTTGATTTGGGGAAGGAATGGGATATCTTATTAGGTATTACCACTTGGTATACAGATAAAGACTAGTTTTCTAGTTGTAATACTTTTTGTTTCCTTTATCTCATCTTACTAAACTAGTTAAATCATATTATTGCTTTTAATCATAATCATTGAATCTTTGAGTAGCAGTGAGTATATAACCAAATCTCTCTGTGTTGCGAATCTGCTGTGTGTCAGACTTACGCATTAGTGTTAACCATTACAATAACTCTGTAGGGAAGGTGTTTTCTTAATTTTAGTGATGAGAAAGGTGAGGTTCAAAGGTTACATGACATGCTGAAGTAAATGACATACTAAATGTTGGAGCTGGGAATCAGTTCCAGGTATATAACCCCCAACCCACTGTATAACAGTGCCTTTGACTCAAACTTCTATTTTGCTAAATTGCCATTGATAGTTAAATCATCTATTGCGGAAGAGCTCATGATTTGATAGACCTTCCATTTTTAGATAATCTTTATTTTAATTTAAAATCTGATTGCTTATATCTTCAACTCAGGGTCCAAATTTGTCCAAAATAATGAAGAGTTAGCGTGTAATTGCTCGCTTATGATATCCATTCATGTGCTTGAAGAAGTTTTCAAATGCCCTTCAAGTCTAGGCTGTAGTTCCTGGGTTTCTTCAAGGATTTATTCATGACATGTCATTTCAGTGTTTAAAATTCTTTAACAATTCTCATTCACCATAAGTTCCTTAGCAGTCAGTATGCAACAACTTAAAAAGGAAAGTCTTTAATTTTTTTGCTTTTTCTGATTCAACAATATACTTATTGTGGGAAATATGTAAGAAGAATGTTAAAAAATAGCCTCTCACATTCTCATCTTCCAGAGATAACTACTGTTAACATTTTAACAGGTAACTTCATTCTTTTCCTGTTCATAGGGACACTTAAAAAGCTTACAGGAATGTCAGATGCCTAGTCTGGTCTTAGGAATGGTAGAATTGTCTGTCCCTAAAATAAGGTTGCCCTGCCACGGAATTTGTATCTTAGTGTACTTATATTAAAAACCAGTAACTGTTTTTTTAATTTCTTGGTGCATAGAAGCTCATTGACCCCTTTTACCATTAAAGAAGTGTGTATAGGTTATTTTTAAAAGTCTCTTGTAATTTCTAGAGCTCTGTATGATATTAACTTTAGCTCATGTTTGAAGTAGTAGTGTATTTATGGAGTTGTAGATTTTTAAGTCAGTCTTGGCTTGTTTCACTAAAACCTACTTCCATATTGCATACATGTTTAATTTTCTTTTAATTTTTAAAAATTTTGCTCATAAATCAAAATGAATGTGAGTACTAAGAAGCCAACATCCTTATAAGTGCCTGGCACTTAATAGGTGTTCAAGAGTAATTAATTTGAAATGAACTAATTTGAAGTGATGGATGTTAAAAATTCTAATCTACGCCACTTCTTTAAATAATAATCTCTGCTTAAGTTCTCTTTAAAAATTTGCTATTTGCATCATATTCATGAAATGTGTTTCTAAGTGAACTTGTTTCTTCTCTCATTTTCATGTAGATTTTTTTCCCCTTGTGTTTGTCCAGGTAATCCTTTGGATTATATGCCACCTTTATCCTTCCTTCCTTTGGTTTTATTTACTTATTTTTAAAGAGGGGGAAGGGAGGCAGAGAAACATCGATGTGCCAGAGAAACATTGATCAGAAACATCGATCAATTGTCTCTCGCACACCCCTAACCAGGGGACCTGGCCCCTAACCTAGGCATGTGCTCTGATCAGGGATTGAACTGATAACCTTTTGATTCATAGGCCAGTACTCAATCCACTGAGCCACACCAGCCAGGGCATATGTGCCACCTTTTGACAGGTCTGGTTTTTTGGTTCTTAACACCTCTTTTCATTTCCATAATAATTTTATACTTACCTGCTTGTCTCGTAGCCGATTTCACTGTTTCCTCTTACATCCATCCTGCTAGATTACTTTTCCTAGGCTTAGACTTGTTATAATTTTGATCAAATGAAGTACAGGTTCCCAACTGTGCAATTAATCAAGCCCAAATTCCTTGCTTTGAAATCTTTATCTGTTTTATCTTTTTAGTTTTATTTTTCACTTAACATATACAGTATTTCTTAAACATGCCTTTTTTGAATTTTTGCTCCTTGCTTGTGCACACATGGATTCCTTGTGGAACATTCTTAGAAAAATGTAGTTGTCAAAGGCCTGCCTCTTCATAATCCAGCTCAAATTTTACCTTCTTCGTGAATGCTAATTAGTATCCAAAATTCTTTTGTAATCTCTCCCTCTCATACACTACAGCACTTGTGGCAGTCTTAAAGGACTTAGCATTTACTATGGTTCAGTTTTTGCCTCTCCCCTTCTCATTTCAACATTGTATATGAAGTTTCCTGTGGACAAGGAGGCGTGGGGTTGGGGGTGCAACTAAAACTGTTGAAAGCCCTCTAGCAATTGACCTACGGAAGACAAACAGGAGGTAACTGTGATGGCAGCAAAGGTAGAGATACGAAGAGGGCAGGGGGTGAGACAAGGGGCCTGTTTGGGGGGACTCGGTGAGGCTTTTCATCTTACAATACTTTGCTTGTAAGAATTTGTTGAATTTCTCATGGGGTTTAAAAAAAAATCATCTTCCCAAGTTTACACTGTATTTAAGAATCTCATAGAAGTGTATGCACATATATATGCAAAAATTCCTTGAAAAGACCCCCAGAAGTGTTTAGTACTAGAATGTATTGATTAAAATGTGATGGTATCACAAACTTTTTTAAACTAGAAGATGAGAATCCATGAAGGGCTGGAATTTGGTTGATAGGTTCCTCTATTCATTTACCCCATTTAACAAATTTTATTTTGCACCAATTATGTTCCAGGTCATAAAAAAAAAAGAAGTGAGTAAGAGTAAATGATCTCAAGTTGTCCCCGGTCCAGGAGAGGTGGCTGTGTGACAGTGCGACAGGAGTGCTTTTCCTGATTTCCCCCGGAAGTCAGTGTCAAGTGGCTCAATACGTAAGGAGCCTTTAGAAACAGCGGCCTCTGGACAACTTTTTGGCTGGGTTCTGCCATACAGGGAACACGGAAGTATGGTCTTTAGGCGGTGTGTCAGCCTGTGGCTTACGTATTTTGTATTTTAGAATAAGTAGTTAAGCTTAAATTCCTATGGGTGTCAGTAGGCCTGCTCTGTGATATGTTGTATGCAGGGCCCTGGGGTAATGCCTGCCATTCCCCAGTTATTAAGGATTGTCCTTGTCCAGGTTTTGTGGCTTAGGTCTGTCGAACATAAACTCTAGTAAACCTCTGATCAGGATCAGAGCATCAGGCTTGGTGCACTTATTTTCTCCCAGGGGCAAACACATTCAAATTGGAGTCAAAACTTCCCTTGACCACCCACCTGCTTCCAACTATTGTCCTCTTTTCACTCCTTGCGCGTTCTGTTTTTCTCAGAGCCAACATTCAGAATGAGGTAAGTATGGTGAACAACCCTTTCGCCTGTCTAGATGCTGCTCTAATTCCAGCCATTGCCTGTAGAGTGGGCTTAGGTGGGCCTTGGCCATTGACTCCTCATCTTCCTGAGTGGTAACTCTGGGGGGCTCAGCCTGCCCAAGTCTGGATAAAAACAGTTCTGGGTCTTCTAGAGCCTGGTCACTTCAGAAGATCTCTTGGAAACCCCTCCCTAATTGCTAATTGTCCCGCCACCCCCGCTCCCGTTCCCCCGCCCCCACGCCACCCCCACCCAAGCCCTGCTGCTACCCCCGACTTGGCATCACAAACCTGGCATCACAGCATTTGCTTGAAGTCTCTGGCTTTTGTTCCTGTCTGCTTTGCTTATTTACATGTTAATCTCCTTTGTTGAGTTCCAATTTCCTTTAGAACAACTAGTGTAGTGCCTGATATGGAACTTAATAAGATCTGTGCCTTCACTTACAGTTTTGAAGGGTTATATTCCTCCAGAGTTCTGAATCAATTGAGTAAATTTGGGAGTCAGATATCACTGCTAATGGGGAAAGTAGAATGTGGCTTGGAACCAAG